CTCTGCACAGCGCGCGGGGTTGCCGATGCGAGCGCTGAAGACGTGAAATCGGGGAAAGAATATTAAATTTAGGGAATAAAACGATTTTTTACCATACGAAAGGGTAGTGTAATCTCATTAAGGGTCAAGCGAAGGCACAGAACTGAAATATTAATATAGATATATACTATTCTTTTACATATAACCTTTAGAATAGAATAGAATAGTTTATTAGTGTTAAAATACAAATGTGTATACTACTTAAGTAGTATACACACGTCAGAAAATACAATTAATTAAAAAGAGAACAAAAAGATTTGTCTAAAAATTAGATCAATACAATTAAATAAAAGAGAACAAGAACATTTGTAAAAAGAATTAGGTAAATACAATTAAATTAAAAGAGAATTTGTATCAATTGATCAAATCAAAGTTATCACACAGGAGATATTCTTTAAATGAATAGAATGCTTTTTTTATTAAAAAAATCTTAATTAGTTTTTTAAATGAGATAATTTCCATGCCTCTTATTTCATAAGGTAGGTAGTACGTTAAAAAATTTTACACCAAAAAAATGTTTGTCAGTTTGACACCTTTTTAGCCTGCAAAAATTTGTGTGTAGATTTGCTGAATTTCTAGTTGAATACTCATGAGTTTCACTGCTAGAAGTGTAATCAAGAATATTTTTTTTGATATAAATAACACTTGAGTAGATATATAGACATGGGAATGTCATAATATTAAGTAAAATAAAATATGGTTTGCAATTTTCACGGTACCCAATTCCAGCTATCAACCTTATCGCTTTTCTTTGTAACCTAAATACCGACTTACTCGAGGGTGCGTGACCCCAGACCAGTATTGCGTATGACAAAATTGAGTGAAAGTGAGCAAAATATACCGTTTTAAGCACAAAAGAAGACAAATTATATGATAAATGTCTCAACCAGTACAAACGACTAGACGGCTTTTTGAATAAATCCAATTTGAAGAAGGATCCATATATAGTTCCAGAAATTTAATAGATTCTTGGTTGTTTATATTAGTGATATTTCTCATGGAAAAAACTAAATTCTGCGTCTTGGCAACATTTAAACATAGACGATTAGCAGAGAACCACTTATGCGAATCCGATTGTAGTCCACGAGACGTTGTCAGATCGCTTTGTAAACAAAAATCTGACTCTACAATTGTGGTATCATCTGCAAAAATTATAAAGTTACTATTAACAGATGATGGTAAATCATTAACATAAATTAAAAATAATAAAGGCCCCAGAATGGAGCCTTGGGGAACGCCAATGTTTATGTTTAGTTTATCTGATAAAGAATTATAAAAGCTAACAAGGTGACACCTATTATGTAAATAACTTTGTATTAATTTAGTACTAGTTTGATCGAATTTATAGTGAACAAGTTTGTTTAGCAAGATATCATGGTCCACGCAATCAAAAGCTTTACTTAAATCGCAAAATATGGCGGATATGAAAAGCTAATTATTAAACCCCTCTTGTACAAAATCACAAAACTTCAAAATTGCATCTTGTGTGGAACGATTACACCTAAAACCGAATTGGCTATTAGTAAATAGACCCTCATTCTTGGCGACTCTAATTTGAATGGCTTTTTCATAAACCTTTGATATTACGTCTTTATTTCCTTTTTTAGAGCTTCTGGAAAAATTCCGGAATTAAAACTTAAATTAATCAACTTTGTTAATGGTAAGATTATATCTTTTATGGCTTTTAAAATTTCAGTTGTGAAGCTATAAATATCTTTGGCCTTTGAATAATTTAAATTATTTATGATATCTCTAATTTCATTGGGTGTGACGTCGCTTAAAGAAAAGGTATCATTAATATTTAAGGGAGGTAAAAATTTCATACGATCATCAATAGTAAGATCCTGTGTAATTTTAGTTCCAATTTCATTAAAGTATTTATTAAAACTATTGGGATTTACACCTCAGGTTCTTTAACTACTTTATAAGAATTTATAACATTCTACAAACTCTTACCATTGTTATTGGATTTTTTTATGTAATTATCGTTTGCTTTAATTTTCGCAGCTTTAATGGCGTTGTGATATTTAATTTTGTATTTGTTTCTTCATGACTGTACTGGCAAAACAATTCATTTAACAAGTCCAGGTGACTTTTCATCTCTTAATGATTTTGTAAACCTACGAAGGCGTAGAAGGGACAATTACACAAAATTTATTTTTAATATTTAATTCCGATTTAGGTAACACAGAATTAATTCCCCCTATTTAATTCTGCGTTAGCTAACACAGAATTAATTCCTTCATATTTAATTCCGTGTTAGCTAACACAGAATTAATTCCTTCCTATTTAATTCCGTGTTAGCTAACACAGAATTAATTCCTTCCTATTTAATTCCGAGTTAGGTAACACAGAATTAATTCCCTCATTTAATTCTGCGTTAGCTAACACAGAATTAATTCCCTCCTATTTAATTCCGTGTTAGGTAAGACAGAATTAATTCCCTCCTATTTAATTCCGTGTTAAGTAACACAAAATTAAGTGAATTATATCTGTGTTAGTTATCGCGGAATTAAATAGGAAGGAATTAATTCTGTGTTAGCTAACACGGAATTAAAGGGGAGGGAATTAATTCTGTGTTACCTAACGCAGAATTAAATGGAATGAATTAATTCTGTGTTAACACGGAATTAAAGAGGAGGAAATTAATTCTGTGTTACCTAACGCAGAATTAAATGGAAGGAATTAATTCTGTGTTAGCTAACACGGAATTAAATATGAAGGAATTAATTCTGTGTTAGCTAACACGGAATTAAATAGGAAGGAATTAATTCTGTGTTACCTAACGCAGAATTAAATGAGGGGAATTAATTCTGTGTTACCCAACTCGGAATTAAATATTAAAAATAAATTTTGTGTAATTGTCCCTTCTACCCCTTCGTAGTTAACCATACTATGTTATTTAATTTAATATTTTTAACCCTGAAAGTTTTTTTAGGAAAAGCTTTTTCAAATTCTTTAGATAAAATATCTAAAAAGATATTTACTTTAGTGTTTACTTTTAGATGATTGCATTTAATAAAATCCCAATTTGTTTTAGATAATTCCGAATAAAAAAGGAATTTACCCTCCATTGTTATGGGTCTGCATATTTTTTTCAGTGCATTTGTTGCAGGAACGTGTGGCATAAAAATATCCACTTATTGCGCTTTGTGATCAGATATATAAGCGTTTAAGAGTGATGCTGAGCATAGGTCAAAATTAAAATTAACAAAAACATTATCTAAGCAGTAAACGAGTAATGGGTGAATTAAATATTTAAAACCAAAAGATAAAAGGAAATTACACAGTAAAGTACATTCTTTTTGTAAAGTTCCGAATTTAACATTAAAATCTCCAAATAAAACTACCATTTTATTCTTGTTTAATAATAATAAAATCCGATTTAAAACTTCAATAAAACCTTAAAATATTACCTATGTATATGTATACCTATTCATGCAAATAATTTATTATATATTTTATTTAATAAATAGCCTAAACTTTATTTAACTGCAAGCACGAAATTAAATTAAAGTAACATGCATTTATGACTGCAAAAAACAAGATTTAATGCAAAAAATTTTTTTTATTTTTAACAGTAGGTACCAAATATAACAAAAACTTAATCGAGTAGGTAATCAAATACAAAATAATATTTAAAATCTTACTTACCCCAGTATAACAAAAACCAAAACACTTAAAATAATACTAATGCAGATTCTGTATTGCAGAATATTCTCAAATTTCATTAAAAAACCCGTTACATAGGCCATTATGACGGCACTACCAGAGATAAAAATATGCCTCTATAAAGTAGGGCACCACAATGATATTTTACCAACTTGCCCATATCGAGGATTTATTCCGAATATTGCCGAACAGTTAAACTTTAGCTGCTAAAGCATTATAATTATGGCGATAAATTTGAATATGTAGTTCCACTATAGTAGTGGTTATGTTAACTTAACACAAAGATGCCGAGTACAAAAAGTACAACAAAAGTACTCCAGTACATCAAATGTACTCAAGTAAAACAAAAGTACCCGAGTACATCAAATGTACACGAGTACAAAAAATATACTCGAGTAAAAAAATGTACTCGAGAACAACCAATGTACTCGTGTCCATTTTAACATTTTTAAATTAAATAAGTACAAGTAAAATGTACTCTGGACTGAGTACCGAGTACATAAAAAGTACTTAAAGTACAAAATTTGAGTACAAGTACTCGAGTACCGCACAGCTCTGACCTGTATCATAGAGTATGCCCTGTATTAACATAATATACAATTTTTCGTAAATCCTATGATTTAATAACTATTTATTAACTGATTTAAAATGCCTTAAAAGCATTTAATACAAAACTAGCAGACTTAACAAGTCTTTAAATTTTGTATTTGTTATATATTTGATTTAAAATTTCTCAAACGGATCACCCAAATTGGATACAAATTAAGTTTTAAGTTATTTTTTTCTTTTTTTAAATAAAATTTTACATTTCTGGGATAAATTCAAAACGATTTTTTCTTCATAATATAAATATTTAAAGTTAATATTCACTTAAACAATTACTACGGATAAACCGATTTTGATCATCATCTTTGGAATTCAAATCGTCACAGATTTGTTGTTGTTTAATTAAACAATTACATTTCAGGCAATTTTTTATACGTTTGTTTATAAAAATATTATATAAAAAAAGTGTTCTATAACTGATATGGTATTGAAAAAAGTTACCTATTTGATATTTATTTATCTTAATAGGCTTGTGGCTGTCTCTCTTAAACCAAGAATTCCTGCTGTATCGTTCTTGCTTTCATATTCTGTTTTAAGCCAATAATAATAAAAATAGATCACTAAATAATCACATACTAAGAAGAGCTCAGATTTATTTATATTATTATTATGCTGAGCGCAACAGATGTTGAAGCGCTGCGTCGCTTTTTATTATATATTATAATTAACAAATTATATTTTAGGAAATTACTTAAAGTATTAATAGATAACTTAAATGGAAAAGATTCTCAAATGCAAATAGTGGTTTTAGAAATTTTAGCTGCTGTATTCCAGTCAGAACCATTAAAAGATTGTTGGTCCAACTTTGTTGAATTATTAACACTAAGAGTTCTTAACGCTCATTGCGATGAAAAACGCGAGGTAAGTTATTACACTTTTTCATGATTGACGTCACAAATTCAAATTTTCAACATTGTCTCGAAAATTTGAATGAGTATTTGTATAAGTCTAACGTGACGTCACGTAGTTAATGACCCCCTCGTCACAGATCGTCATAATATAATAATATGCACTTTTATTTTTAGATTGTAAAGGAAGCAGAATCTACTGCTGCTGCGATGAACGTCTTTCCCTTTAATACAGTGGTTAATATATTGGCACCTTTAATTAGGACCAGTCCATATCCATCACTTTTAGGGGCAATTAAAATGTTAACAAAACTGGTTGAAACTAATCCCAATGATGTCACTGATGAGCATTTACAAAATATTATGCCCGGATTAATTAAAGTAAGTTGTTAACACTTATAACATTTATTTTGGAGATATTTTTCTGTTAGACTTTTTAAAAATGAATTATTGTAAGAAATGTAATATATATACAAGGTGTCCCTAAACTTAGTGGCATAAATTTAGGAGCAGATTAAGCAAGTCAAAATAAGACGAAAATCTAAATACATATTTTTCCTAATTAGGTATGTTTAAAAGATACAGAGTGATAAAGTGTTACTTATCATCAGTTTTTTTAATAAAACTTCCACTATGGTGGTCTTGGAAAGGTGATATTTTGCGAACAGTCACTTACTACCAAAACACATATTCACGCATAATTACAATTGTTCGAGTGAACGCAGTGTCGTAGAAACAGGGGTTGCTTAAGCTTATTGTCCCATACAAACTTTGAGGTTAGGTTTTTATACCATTTGATGCAATTTTTCGATTACTCAGTTCGGCTACTATTAAAAAGGTGTACCTCTCAAACTTCGATAAAATTAACCGTTTCCGAGATATCCGAGGTTACAATAATTGTTATATCGCATTAAAGGACTAAAAGGTATACATATCATATGATAACAATTTTTTTAATTGAAAAAACTACATTTTTTTTTAATTTGACGGTCAGGGCAAAATTTCTCGAGGCTCATGAAACGCCGTTTTTTAGTTTTTTCAATTAAAAAATAAAATTTGTTATCATATACCTTTTAATCCTTTTAAATAATGCGATATAACAATTATTGTAATCTCGAATATCTCGGAAACGGTTTATTTTATCGAAGTTTGAGAAGTTCACCTTTTTAATGGTAGACGAACTGTGTAATCGAAAAATTATATCAAATGTTATAAAAACCTAACCTCAAAGTTTGTATGGGATAATAAGCTTAAAGCAACCCCCGTTTCTACGACACTGTGTTCACTCAAACAATTGTAATTATGTGTGAATATGTGTTTTGGTAGTAAGTGACTGTTCGCAAAATATCACGGTTCCAAGACTACCATAGTAGAAGTTATATTAAAAAAACTGATATGATAGGTAACACTTTATCACCCTGTACCTTGGAAACCTAAGTAATTAGGAAAAATATTTATTTAGGTTTTCGTCTTATTTTGACTTGCTCAATCATTTCCTAAATTTATGCCAATAAGTTTAGGGACACCTTGTATATATATATCACAGTGTGACCCATTTGTTTGCGACTCACCCCTGTAAAATCTTTATTTATTGTGCGATTTTAGCTAAACAAACTTTATTTCAATTCAACAGAATAAAACAGTTGGGAGATACGTTTGGTTTGTGTACATACAGATCCCTTGTTGATTAAGTACATAAGGTATAATAACTATAACAATAACTATAACAAAAATTATTCTTCGCAACGCATAGTCGTGATATGGTTGACAGTAAAACAAATATGGTTGATCTTTCATTGCTTCATGTGTTTTATACAGTGATGCCGGATGAATGTCATAAAAGTTCCCGATCAAAAACTAGAAAATACTAAAAAAACTAGTTATATTTTAAAGTTACTTGCGCATTCGCCCTGTTTTAAAAAAATTATTAAAATTAATTTAAAAATTTTTTATAAGTAAATAAAAATTTAACAGGATATCCTATATAGAATAAAATAATTATGAATTTTTAGTAAACATACAATATTATTTACTGAACATATTTCTTCAGTTGGTATTTTGATCGAAATATCCGATTTTACCCGCTTCAAAATTCTACCCGATAAACATGACGAAAATACCCGCAAACGGCAACACTTTTTCAAGATAGCTCTCCTGTCATTACTTACCAATTGGTAAGTAGTGATATGAGAGCTATCTTGAAAACGCGGGAAGATCACATGACAGATCAGCTGTGCTCTAATTGGTCAGCTGAAAAAATCGATATTGTGTCTAAAAAGTGTTTGGAACAATATGGCGGCAAGTATTTGGTGATTTTCAGTCTGTGCGAAATGCTAAAGAACAGACCTTGTTGTGGGAAAATAAACTATTAAAATAAAACGTACAGTGGCAAGAATAAAAGCAAGTCAAGCGCATCGTATGTAAAAAATTATAATTATTACACCTCACATATGTTATTATATAGGTAATTATGCAATAAACTTGGCTTATTACCACCCCGGCAAAATATTAATAAATACTTTTCTGTGTTTTATTTTATAATAATCAAATACAACCTCTCTGAATAATTCCGGATATTTATTTTAATCGCTATAGTTAAGTTCTTACCATGTATCTGCTAAAAGTCTTATTAAGTCTTATTAACTCTTCTAGAAGACTCGCAAATCTTGCTATTAGTCTGACTTACTAAGACTTATTCAGACTTCTTCCGACTTAATAAGTCTTATTCTGACTTTTTCCGACTTGATAAGTATTATTCATACTTTTTAAGAGAAAGTAAGACTTTAAAAACTCTTATTTTTACTTATTAAAACTTTTTTTGCTCCAAAAATACAGTTTATCAAATCCGGTTAAAATCGCACAATAAATAAAAAATTTGCAGGGGTGAGTCGCAAACAAATGGGTCACACTGTATATATATACAAACTCCAAAATTTATTTTTAGAACGCAGATCATCAAGAAAGCCCAGTAAGAAAGAGTTCTATTTTCTGTATGGTTGCAATTCATAAGGCAGTCGGAGAAGAAAGGCTTGATCCATTTATAAATACGTTGTCAGGCAGTAGGATAAAGTTGTTGAAATTATACATCAGTAGATCTCAGCAAACTTCCTCTGTGCCTACAAGTCCTAAAAATGTTGCGAATAGCTAGCTAGTCCATTATTTTTAAGTATTAGCAACATCTTGCATATTTTTATATTTATGAGTAATTTTGTGATTTATTAATCATTGTTTCTGTTTATCATAGTATCATTAAAATTAAGCTTAAAATCGTTGTCAAGAAATTTGTTTTCTTTAAATATTAAACTTTATTAACTATTTTTACCTATTTAATATTGTTGATTTTAAGAATTTTAAAATGTCATTTTGTGTAATTATTTTTTGGTTGATCATGTTTTTACATTTTTAATTTTACTATGGTGAAAATCGAAAAGTGCCCAAAGATTTATTATTACTATAAAACCAGTGCCGTATTTAACGCTAGCTCCTGGTAGTGACAAAAGCGGACGCGGGAGTGTGCGGGCGGAAGCGAGCGACTCCTTTTAAAAAGGTGTCCCTATTTAACGCGGGATGAAGCGAGGAGTTAGGATAGGTTAGAATAATAATAAATAAACTAAAATATTTCTCCATCCACCATGATCGTCGAAGTAGATGGCAGAAATGTTTACTTTTGGAGAATTTATTCATAAAATACAAACTGCAGTATGTAATAATGTTTAAATGACTGATCCCACAGCATAGGACGTCTTTGTGCTTCAGAAATTTGTTAACATCAATGTCTGCCCTATCGTTTTGCCACTGAATGGCTATTGCAATAGTGGATCTTCTCTTGTCCAATCGCTTGTTAAAATCAAAATATTTAATATCAAATATCGCTTGCATACGCACGCATCCGCTTTTTATAACTTTTTTAACTTTTATTTTATTTAATATAACATTTAATATCTTACGTATACATAATAATTATTTTATTTGACATAATGGTGACACTTTTACATAACAAATACATCACAGAATATACCATTAAAAATCATAAACATAAAATAGGTAAACTTTTGGATTTTCGCTAAATTATATAATGTAACCTCATAAAAATAAGCATGTATTTTTAAGGTTTGAAATAGTAATTATTAATAATAATTAAAACACTATAAGACTTCATTAAGTCTAACTCTTGTAAAATATTAATAATTGTAACAAAATTGTTTTATTTAATAAGCAAAATTTCCATTATATTCCATGTATTTAAAAACTACCAAAATTGTTTGGGTTTAGAATTTAATTAATTCATGAATTAATTTAATAATGTTATTAAACGACAAATAAACGATTAACAACAGTAAGCTTGGTATTTCATTTATAATATAAACTTTGTTTTGTTTTCTTTTATATTAGATAAATACATAACAGCGCTGTTCTTATGTCCCAGCTAGCACAAGTCGGTCTTAACGTCCCACGGGTTATTTTTGTTCTTTGGATATGAAGGTCCTGAAGAAATCCTCTGCACTTAAACATACTCAATTAACCAGCCATAATTCGTTACTGAGTAGATTATCCCCACTCTTATCATTGTTCAGCTGTCAAAATCGAATCAAAATCAATATATTTAAAAATTAACTAATATTGTACAAAAGAAGATATTGTAAATGGCCGCAATGTGGTGATGAGGTTTGGGGACATCTATTAATTACTTGAAGTATTTTTCTGATAAATTAGACCCCTCCCTCCCCCTTGGTGAGATTTGGTGAGATGTGGTAAACTCCCCCATCCCTCACATGAGATTCTAGCCATTATCTTTCATTGCGGACATATGATAAACCCAAAAAAAATTACTTTTTTAGACAAATATGTAGAGGGAGCCCCGTATCAAAAATCTGGTAAGGGCCCTTAAACAGGAAAAGCTGCTGGCAAAAAAATTTCTGGGTGTCACGCCCACAGTCTATTTTGGGCAAACAAAAAAAATTTTTTTGGGTAAAATTTTTTTGCATTTACCAACTTTTTATAATTTAATAAATAATATATACCTATATACATATATTTATATGTAAAAATTTTTTAGGGTATCATTTTTTTGCATTTACCAATTTTTTATAATTTAATAAATAATATATACATACATACAGTTATATTCATTAAAAAGGCGTACAAGAATTAGAATGAGAGAATACTGTCAACATTATTGCGTAAAACCGGCTTTGAACTGACTTAAGTCACTATATCTGACAGTAGAAAATAAAAATGCCTCGTCAGTTATCTCAAGTTGAAAAGGCTCAATTAGTATTAAGAATCGAAGAATGATGGTCAATTCCTACTATAGCACAGTTTTATGATAAGAAATAAAAAATCTATATTAAAAATTAAGCAACGCTGGGAACAGGAAGATTTAATAAACGGAAAAGTTGGTTCAGGTCGTCCCAAACTATCCACCCCTGAACACTTCCACTACTTTTTTTGGGATATTTAAAAAATAATCCATTTACAACAGCGAGGGATGCTGTTGTTGATACAGAATTTCCAGGCTCTCAACCTACCTTCAGCAAAACGGTCAAGAAATCTGAACAAAAAATACCAGCTGCAAAAAAAATTTTCTCACAGAAAAACGAAAACAATCAAGGGTTATATTTGCATTAAATTACATATACCGCAATCCCCAACGGGGTAATTTTTACTGACGTGTCGTCCCGATAATACTAGGTTTGAAGAACTGTATACCAACAACCTTCCTCGCCGTTTCTCTGTGAACTTATGGAGCTGGATAAGTGTTCATGGATATGGTGTTTGTTGGAGAATAGAGGGAATGTTTAATGCCGAAAATTATGTTAACATTTTGGAGAACATTGCTACAATCTGCCCGAATAATACCTTTATATTTCAGCAGGACTGCTGGGAAGATATTAATACAAATATTGTTTTCAATTTAATTCAGTCAATCCCAAATAGATTAGCTGAAGTAATGGAAAACTGCATTACTAAATATTAAACTTTTTTAAAATTGTTTTTTTTTCATTTATAATAAAAAAAATTGTAATATTATTTAATTAACCCAAGACGTCAATGCTCTTTATAACCTATATTAATTATTTTAATGACTTATGTCAGCGATAAGCCGGTTTTAAGCTATAATATTATTATGACAGTCTCTCATTCTAATTCTTGTACGCTTTTTTAATGAATACCACTGTACATATATGTATACATTAGGGTGCTTTTTTTTCATGACTATTTTTATTTTTTCGCTCCCCACTTAAAATCTTGTTAAAAATGTTCCAAAAAAATTCCCTGAAAATTTGAGCCCTAAGTACTCTAGGTACTCTCCCAAAGCGTATAAAGATTTCCCATTTAAAATGCACGTAAACTTTGATTTTTTTTAATATCTATATCTCAGGCGCATTTTATGCTATTGGATTGTTCCAAAAAGGGATTTATTCGTAATCAAAAGTTCTACATAGCTGTAATCTGCACCTGTAGGATGGTATGGGTCAATAAATCTGATTTTAGTGATAAATTTTCATACTCTTGAAGATATTTCCAAAGTGACTGGATTCACCGAAAAAATGTAAAGAAAAAACTTGTAGGAAATTTATTTTTCTTTAAAAAAGGTCTTATCAGTTGAATCGCTAAGATTGATATTTGTTGACTACTCGTAATAAAAAATTCTACACAAATGCTTTATGTGCCATAGCTGTAATCTGCACCTGTAGGATGGTACGGGTCACTAAATCTGATTTTAGTGAAAAACTCGCATATTTTTGAAGATATTTCAAAAGTGACTGGATTCATCGAAAAAATGTAAAGAACAAACATGAAGAAAATTTTCTTTAAAAAAGGTCCTATCAGTTGAATCGCTAAGATTGATATTTGTTGAGAAATAAAGCGTTTACATTGACATTTTATGAAATTTTTCAGGATTTTCGTAACAAACTTAGTAGTAGTAGTAAATATATTTATTGGAAAAACCAAAACCAAACTTTTTATAAATGATGATTTTCAATTGTTTATCAGTATAATTTTATGTAATTACGTTTTTTCTACAGGTGCACCTAGGTGGTTAGAGAAAAATAAATAACTAAAACAATTAAGCATTCGTTGGAACAGGAGGGTTCAGAAAAATTTTAATATAATAAATCGAAGTATAAGCTATTAAATAATAATATTATTTATTTATTTAATTCCATGCCTCAGTTTTTTTAACATATGGGTAATATGTTTTCTGGCCGGGGGCCCCGTATCATTGATACGGCTGATACCGCGGTAGCTACGCCCCTGATTATAATACTTTGAACCCAAAAGTTGACGTGAGGTTTTAAATGACCCCCACTCCCTTAACATGAGATTTGGTGAGATTTTGCTAGACACCTCCCCCCCCTATTTTATCTCACGTAATTAATGGATGTCCCCTTGGCTGTAAAAAGGCTCGTGGTAGTGAGGTTCCACCTCTTAAGCCTCCCCGCGGTGGAGGTGCGTGGTACGAGTGGTAGCAGTACAGTCTCCCGACGGTCTTAGTCCTTTACACGGGGCTCCTTTTAACCCTAACCCTAATGACGGATGATTGCGGATATAAATTCTTCGTCAAAACCGGATAAAAGCAGATGATTGCGGGTATAAATTCTTCGTCGAAGCCGGATAAAAGCAGATAAAAGCGGGTAAAAATATCATCTGATAACATCTGCTTTTGTCCGCATCGCTATATCCGCGAACACCCGGTTGGTTGTGTTTTATGTCCGGTTAGTGCACCCCCGCAATAATCTGCAATCATCTGTTTTTAACCGTCTTCACTGTGTTTCGTTTATATCTGAATTTGTCCGGAATCATATGCAAACGTCTGCTTACGTCTGGTTTTGTCCGCGATTACCTGCATTTTTTTTGTCTATTTTTGTCTGGTTTTTTCTGCAAACGTCTGGCGAAAAACTGCTTTTATCCGCGAACATCTGCAATCACCCGCGAACATCTGCAATCACCCGCGAACATCTGCTTTTACCCGCGAACGCCTGCTTTCATACGGTTTCACCCGCAAACATGCTTTTATCTGCGAACGCCTGATTTCATACGGTTAGTGCACCCCCGCAAACATCTGATTTTATCCGCAAACATCTCATTTTATCCGCGAACATCTGCAATCACCCGCGAAAATCTGCTTTCATCCGCGAATATCTCATTTTATCCGCGAACATCTGCAATCATCCGCGAACATCTGCTTTTATCCGCGAACATCTGCTTTTATCTGCAGAAATCTCATTTTATCCGCGAACATCTGCTTTTATCCGAAAACATCTGCTTTCATCCGCAAACATGCTTTTATCTGCAAACATCTGATTTTATCCGCAAACATCTGCTTTTATCGGCAAACATCTGCTTTTATCCAAAACATCTGATTTTATCCGCAAACATCTGATTTTAATCGCAAACATCTGATTTTATCCGCAAGCATCTGCATTTATCCGCAAATATCTGCTTTTATCCGCGAACATCTGTAAACATCTGCTTTTAATTGCAAACCTCTGCTTTTATCCGCGTTCGGTTTGTCTGCATTTCATAAAAACAACCTGTAAAGGAAATAAGTTTATTGAACTTCAATATTATTTGGTAAAATACAAATAAGGTCTTTGTTAAGGGACATAAATAGATATTTTTTAATCATTAAGCTTACATTTAAATTAATTGTTAGAAATGTTCAAATACATTTGGAATTATAACATCTTCAATTTGTATGGAATTTGTTTGAAAAACACTTATTTAGGCGTAGAATTTTTCATCTAACTTTAAAAACTTTTTAATTTTGGCATAACCAATATTTTTAATATATATGTAAGAATTAATAGACTTATTATTTCTGTGGTACTCTTCACCATAGTATACCTGATTTTTAAATTTAAATCTGGTGAATATAATTAAATTATTTTCCCATTGGGAAAATGTCGTGTTGAATAAACTTATTTCCTTTACAGGTTGTTTTTATTCAAATAATTCTTTTTAGAGTTATAAAGTTCTTCTTCTTCTTCTTTGGTCTGAAAAAACGTCTCCGTTTCTTCAGGGGGGATGGCCTTTAGTTTATTTAAAAACTATTTGGCCAGCTCATTATATCTTGAATATACATTATAATCAAGGGACCCAATTAAGAGTGTCTGAGATTTCTCATCCCTTGATTTTTGGACTTTTATAGATTTGTTTGTAGCTTGTTCTTCTAAATGTCTTAT